TCTCTCTCTCTCTCTCTCTCTCTCTCTCTCTCTCTCTCTCTCTCTCTCTCTCTCTGCATGCACACAGAGGAAGGGCTATGTGAGGACACAGTAAAAAGGTGGCTGTCATCTTCAAGCCAGGAAGAGAGTCCTCATCAGAAACCAACCTTGATGACACCTTGATCTTGACTTCTAGCCTCCAGAACCATGAGAAAATAAATTTCTATTTTTTAAGCCACCTAGTCTGTGGTATTTTTGTTATGGTAGCTCTAGCAGAAGAATACAATTGGGATGAAGAAATAGGGGTAGAATTGACACCTCTTCAGGTTCACTCTGTAAATAATAATACATTTTCTTCTCTTAATGCTTAAGTCATAGAGGTGCATAGATAATAAATCTCTTAACCTCTTTGGTTCTATAGACATCTCTGGAACATGATCAGTTAAACTAGTTGATTTCACAGCTTTATTTCCATACACAGCATTCTCTGTGTACAGTTTCTAGGGGTATACTGTCTTTAATTTTTGCAAAACAATACTTAGAGAGGACTGGCTGAAAGGAAGAAGGTGAATTCAGAGAGTTAGGGAGGTTCAGAGCATATTGTGCTTATGCATCTTACATTTGGAATCTGAATAAATACGTGATATTTTCACAATTACCATAAATTATATTCTAATTAAACTCCTAAATCAGAAATGCCATTTTTTTTAAGGATCAGAATACTTTAATAAGGCATCAGTGTCAACATATATTTCCTTATAGTTAAGCTCCCATACAGTTATAATACCAGTAGGAATTCAACAATATAATAATGTTTATGAAAATGTTACGCTGACATGTAAGATTAATGTGAAGCTTGAAATATTTTTCAGAATATATTAGTAAAACTGCAAGGGTAAAATGCCTTTAATGCTGAGGCAAACACACTGGAAAATCAATCACCAGTGTTTTCATGTCAGTAATCCTTCAAGTTTTGCCACTGTGAGAGAGGGGCAGAACTGTGGTGCTAACGTGATTTGGGCAATACAGTGACTAGGTAATTTTCTCATATAACTTAGATTTCTTTCTACATTCGATTTTGTTTTGTTTACTTTTGGCAATCAATCCACCCAGGCTTACACAATTCTTGGCCTGTTGTGCTTTGTGTGTGTTTCTAGAAATTTCACAAGGTGGAGGAGATGAAAATGTGGGTGGATGGCATAATAAAATATAGCTCTGTTGAATGAATCAAGTAATT